CCACGAAATAAATAATCACCAACAGCATTCAGCTATATTAAGGCTTTTTTTAGCTCAGATTCTTGTGATTCAGGATCAGTATTAATGCTGTTGCTATAGTATGTATCAACACACATTCCGAAGAAAAACAACTGCCTCATTGCAAATAGAAAAGTTATACATCTGTTGTATAGTATTGTTACAAAGTTGATCTTTCATTGGGTGTGTTCTTTTGAATTATTTCATGAAAATAATTTGAGGTCGAATTCACGTAACAATCACAAATTAGTTTATTCCTTCCTTTAAGTTTCTTAATTTCACTTGTACGATGTTGCAATTTGTAAGCCTAAGTTTACCTTGCTAATTGTACTAAGATTAATGTAGAAATAAACTTACTGGAACAACTTAATGACCAATCAGTCAAGTAACTACATATATGGTATAACTAAAATTGATCACAATACTTCATTGGCACTATAATATTGAAAACAAAACAACTATCTAACTAAATGACTGACCTATTCAAAGTTATAACTAACTCTTCTTCTAGATATTTTGCAAAATCTTTTGATCATTAAATAATCATTATGACTAGCAGATCCCTCTAGCAAACAAATAAATTACAACATTAAAATATAGCTTTAGGAATTTTCTTTTCTGCAGTCCATGGAATACAGATGTGATGACTTCTGGTCCCTTATTTTCACTTGCTATTCTGTCAGCGGCAATAGGTAGGTGGTTGAGTGAGTCCACTAGCAACTCTATCCTTGATGATCTTCTGGGAAAGGTCTCAACAGGAACCCTGGGTTCCTCAAGAAATTGGGTTTCTGCTGACATTTTCTTCCCTGAAGTTACCCAGTTGGCCACTCTCTCACCAACATACTGTTACGTCTCTGGTCGTTAGTTAATTACTCGTAAAAATTATTTCCGAAGAACTTCAGCGATACAAGTCCTTTTTCAAATAAAACTAGTTTATTCTTTCTCAATTCAACTTTGCAATACATTTAATTTCCACAGTCACCTTAACTTAAACACATGCTATAATTCTCAACGAACGATTCACGCACTTTACTTCTACCGCGCTTGACTCAATTGTCCGTCTATGTCTTCAGTCTCTCTGTCTGCTATTCAATTGTTGCCGTCACTTTATTTGCCGGCTTATATACTATAAGAGCGCCATTCTAGCAACCGCTAGGACGTTCGACAAGTTCCTCGATTTTTCTAGATACTCATTACGTGTTACCAGCGTCACGTGACCTCCGCTGTCGTAACAATGCTTTCCAAGATGATCCTGGTGGTGACCTTTGGCTTGGATTGCCTGTTCTTCTGGATTTTAAAAATTATATCATTAATTCTTTTCAACACAACATACGATCATTCCCAACACTTACTTAATTTTGGAGTTCATCTTTCCTTGCAATGATAAATATACAGCCATATCATGTCAGCTTGATGAAATCTACCTTTATCATCATTAACATCACAGTGACTATTAATTTTATCAGAAGCTAATATAAATCTTTCCTGGATAAAATCATGTATGACATCGTTATTCTTCACATCCACGAGAGTTCTTCCAACCAGATTTAGTATTTCACTTCTTGGTAGCACAATGACCATTCTCCCTGTTGTCACTAGAAGTTCAACCTCAAATGTAGAAGAGTTCAACGTCAAATGTAGGAATATTCATGTATTACAAAGGAATTTCCTGGTCATTGACTGGGAAACTATTTGAAGCTATCCTAATTTTACATCCATGTCTATGCATGAAGTCAGTTCCCAATATGCACTCTTTCTTGATGTCAAAAACCCAAACATTGTCAGGTGTAAAGAAATTTCCTACAATAAGGGTAACTTCTAACTTTTCTATTGTTGTAATTCTATGTCCATTTGTTGTTTACTTCACACTTCCTCTTTTTTTTTATCTTTGGCGGCAATTTCCTACCTTTCATTATCAAATCTGGTCGAACTGTTGTAGCTGTATAAAGTGTCAATCAACATACTGCAAGGCTTTCCATCAACAAACCCATAAACTTATGGAATGGTTTCTTTAAATAATGAGCTTTTTATCTCACTTATGATAGATAGAGTATTCTCAGTTTCTCAGTGGAACATTGCCCCAAAAGTCCATCTAGTCTCCTGTCTGTCTTTTTTGATGTCTCGTTAGCTCTTTGTTATTCCTTTGAAATGATTGGGCTATGAGACATATCCTCAAGGTATTGTTTTCTTGGCTTCAAAATAGTTATTGATCCCTTACAGTCTCATCTGTAATGGCCGTGTTTCCCACGTTTGGAATAGTTCCTTATTTCCAGTATTCTCTGGAAGGAATTCTTTTCCCAAACAAGCTTTTGTCTGTAGTTCCTAGCAATATGCCCTTTCAAGTTACACTTAAACACCTTGTGGTTTATTTTCCCCATTCTGTGTAACTAACTCTAACTGATTCTTTCAGTTCAAAACTACTGATAGGAAGTATTGATGTTTCATACAACAGGATCTGATATTCTCGTAACTTCTAGATGGTGCCTTTAGTAGTTTATCAGCAAATTTAATGGATTAAAGTCCTGTTACTAACTGCAGAGCATCCTTTAAGGAGGTACACTTACTTTGCTTTAACCTAATTTTCATATCCTCTTTGGTTATGACATCTATAAATTGACCATAGATTGGAAACAGGTTTTTAGCATTATAAGCTTTCAGACTTACCACTGAGCCACTGAGAAGCATCAGTGAGAGAACAAAACATGTGAAAAACGAATTATTAAATGCAAAGATTAAACTAGTCATACCTCTTTCTGCATCAGCTCAAGAGTTCCAACCTAAAAAATCATCTACTTCAAAATATGATCAGGAGCACTTATTTGGGATATTCCTATTACCACTACTGATATATCATCTGTTACTGTAGGTCCTTCCTGGACTACTCCAGCCGTGTCATTACCAAATCCAGTTCAAGAATTTAGCTGGACAGTTCAACATCAGCTAAATGAGAAATTAATAGGCGATGATAAGATAATATCATGGTAGAAATACCAGTCTCGGTCAAAATGCATTTCTAGAGTGAATAGAATGAATGATGAACAACAAACTATTCATCTTGCTACTCACTTAAAAGGACCAACTTTGACAACATTAAGTAAACTTCCAGCTGATAGTCATAACAAATATAAAGCAATAGTAACTTCCTTATTCAACAGTTTTAGAGTAATACACCAGAAGCAAGTATACAGAACAAAGTTCAGTAACAGGGTACAAAGGATTTAATATATCTTAGTTGAACTTACGGAAGATTTGGAAAAGCTTGCCCAATTATTTTACTCATACCCTCCTCGTGAAATGATGGTTTTGTTAGCACATAAGGAGATTAAAACCTCGAACTATCACCTGGTAAAAACTGCCGTTGACTTCCATAGAAAAAGTACAACTGTACAACTATATCCCCATCTATACAACTATATCTGATAGAAGACAAGATAAATGTAGCTATTTGAGATGTACAGAAGGATTAAAGCAACAAAATTGAAGAAGTACAGAAAGGCTGTAATGATGTAATTGAAGAGGTATAAAAAAACGTGAACGTAGTAAAGAAAGACACTATTGAGGTAGAAAAGACATCACTGAAAGATTTTGCTTGTTACTAAGCACAAAGCCACATAATTGACTATCTGTACTGTGTCCACCATGACTTCAATTGGATTGACAAATAGTGAGATGTGTGGCGTCTTAAAAGGGAGTGTATTATAAAATTTTATATGATACTATGATATCTTAGTTAGCTCTCTCTCTCTCTCAAGCTGAAGCCCTCAATTTGATAAGTGAAGTGAAGTTTAAGTTATTCCTTTAAATACTGATACTGCCCTAAACTTTAATATGCAGAGTTAACAAATTATTAATAAACATCTTCATAAGTTCTTATGAGAGTTTAGAGAGATAACTACATAATAAAGATGTTGTTTTTCATCCAATATACACATATTATTTCGATTGTTTTTTGTTGTGTTTTTATACACTTATGTCCAGTCTCTTCTTTTTCCACCTCAGTCAGTTTCGTAGAGATTCAGAATTACTTCTCAATATATTTTGCCGAACCAATAGCTTATGTTTTTAATTGACTCTTGAGGGAAATCAGTTTTACCTGAAAATACATAGCAGTAAATCATTCTAAAAGTTTATAACTGTATCCAAGCGCTAAGAGTGTTAAAGAACAAGTCTGCATCTTGGTTTCTGAATCATATACTTATTACCATAATATATTTAATTTTTATAGTTCTAGTGACTTTACTTTAAGAGTGGCAGTCAATTCCTTAGCGTTGGAGGCTGCTACTTAATGGCTACCTTTTCTATGGTCATTAGTTCGAGATTAGGGTCGCCGACAGCTAGTCATAAATACTGTTGCGTCAGCAAAGTCACATGACTAGTGTGACGCCACGTTTCTAGAACTATCCTGTACCTTGGCGAATGCTCTAGGATTTACTAGATATAGGGTAGTCTGGTATATAAAAGAGGGTGACAACGTGACGGAATAATAGTGTGTGTGTAGATAGTGAGTAAGTGAACTGCAGTCAGAAGTATTGTTGACGTTCGTTGATATAGCGTTTGTTTTAGCACGATTGTTGGAAATAAGTGTATCGTAAAGTTGTATTCGGAAAGAATAAACCAGTTTTATTAAGTAAGGACTTGTGTCGCTAAAGTTTCGTCGGAACGAAGTTACGGAAAGTTAATTAACGAACGGAGACGTAACAATACAAATACAATACTTTTAAACTCTTCAGGAAAAAGTATAAACTTCAAGCTTTTCCTTGTAGTTTAAATTATTTAAACAAGGCATTAATGTAGAAGCCAGTTTCTGCATGTTTTTAACGTCATGATAGCCAATCTGTATTGGAACAGTACCTTAAGTTTAAAAAATAAAAAAGTTGTTAAGGGGTCTTTGAAAAACTCTCTTTTTTTGTTGTTATTTTTGTCGATTATTTTAATCTGCGTGGAATGTTGCTTACAGATGGCGCTTTTAATATATTAAAACACAAACACATGGAAGTGAAGAGCTTAAGCCTAAATGTTGAAGATACATCATGGCTAATGTTAAAAAATTTTCCTCAAAGAAAAACTTGTTAAGAAAGAAGTCTTGGATGAAACCCAAAGTAGGCATTATTGTTTTGTTTCTAGTTAAACAGTTTTAAATTGACTTTAATATCATGGTCTTATGTACAGTATTAGTACTGTTTATTATTTGGTCCTTCAAATTTCTCATCAGAACTGGTCTGATAGTGGTACACCGTACGGTACAGTAACACTAATAGTATCACTAAAAGTGATAGAGTAAAGCTGTGATCAATAGTATTGCCTTTCAGGCTTGTGAGAAAGGCACAGTATAAATAAGTACTTTTTTATTTAAATAAGAGTTTAAAATGGAATCTATAATTTCCTGAAAATAAACATTAGCTTTAAGTTTTTACATCTCGGGGGAGTTGAACTTAAAGTTAAACTTCAGTTCAGGTAGTTAGGAAGTAGCTTTTTCATTGTTTATGAAAACATAGTGGTGTATTACGTGGAACTAATTTGAAACTTCCAACTTCCTTAGAAGGATTATATACTTTCGAATTTAATGTTCTAACACTGTGATTGACATTGTTTATAAATTGCATGAAATAAAAGTGAAATTTATTTTACATTAGAGGTAATGATGGGATACATTGTATCATAAATTTTACCGATGTGTAGTTATAAGATAGTAATACTCATGTTGGAAATGTTTAATAATTAGCCAAATGATTCTTTGTTTATTCACAATCTTTCCATATTGGATTTTAAGAAATTTTGTTGCTATTGTTTTGTTTTTACCCATTGGAAATTGTCCTTTTCTCATTTATTTGTATTTGTCAAGGCATTACATTAAATTTTTTTATTTATTTATAATCACATAATATGTATATCGTAATAATTTATGTAAAATTATTTTGTGCAAATATAATTTGACTTGTGTTCAGAAATATGGCTGTTTGTTAAATTTTCATAGGTAGTTAGCAGTTGATTGTTTTATTTTTGGAAATATTAAGTTTTAGGGTGATGTGTTAGATATGTATGAGAACCTTATACATTGATTTTAACAAAATATATTTTTTTTAATTATTTAGAACAAGGGTAGTTTCTCTAAAAAAGATACATACGGTGATGAAGTTTTGGAGGTAGCTAGTGATGGAGAAGATGATGATGAGACAACAAGAGAAGCAAGTATATTCTTATGCTGTAAATATTTAACATTTTAATAAAGTTTATAAGAAAATTTTAAATAATGGTTATTTCTAAAACTTGATTCAGTGCATTTTTTGCAGTACATATTTGACTTTGACTACAAAGTACTTGTGTAGTAGTAAAATAAAGCTATACAGTTTTAACCCCTGCTTTGGGCTTTTATCAGGAAGACTGTAGCATTGCCTATGTAGAGATGGCTTGGATTGTTCATCAAAATGGTGTTTCAAATATCTCATCAATAGGTAGTCAGAACTTTACTATACAGAGTATCCTATTATCACAATGTCTATGTAATGACTGTGTCACAAGTTCTGGAAAGGGCTGTATCACAGCAAAAAGTTCAAATTTCTCGTTCTTATTTCTTCTGCTTCTTTTTTATTACATGATAACTCAAAAATCAAAACAATGGTATCAGTCAATTTCACTGAGGCAACATAGTTTCAAATGGAGTATCTGCTTTTATCAGTATTATTATTCACTTGTTGTAGTTTAAAAAAAATCATAATTCTAGTGTAAAC